TTCAGATCTAATTCAAGCTTTGTTGTTTCAGGTATCAGGTGGATTTCGTCCTCTGATAATGCCAATCGCACGTCTGCTAAGAATTCCGAGAGAGAACGTGTTCGGAAATGAAATTCTTTTCGATAGGAACGGTGCTTATGCTGGTTTTGATACAAACGAACTAACGAGCGATTCAGGTTCAAAGACAGTCGGTAAAGCCGGTGTTTGTGGTCTCCTAAAACGCAGGTAGGTAACTATATGATGCAATCTAGCTGCTTTCAAACATCACTTTCAAAGTCACTCAAGTGATAATCCTTCTAGGATGGGCTACGAGAACCTAGTGATGATTGGCGATGGCGCTACTGATATGGAAGCTTCGCCACCAGCGGATACGTTCATTGGATTCGCCGGTAATCAGGTAAAAGACTTCAAGTTTTCGAACTCACAAAACTTTTTAGAATCAGGACGAAGAATGTTCAATTTTCTAAGATTGCAACTGTTGTATGTAAAATTGCAGGTTCGTGATAGTGTTAGGAAGGGTGCTCCATGGTTAGTATACGACTTCGATACTCTTCGAAGACAGTTACTTTAGCAGACAGTGCCCTACCATTGACATTTCAGTCGTCGATCGTTCACTTATCACTTCTCTTTCTCATTCTATACATAATCAGTTTCTCGGTATGCGGACAACTGCCTCCGGAGGCAACTGAGCCCGAATAAATACCCGTCGGACAGTTGTCCCTGACAACTTGCCTCAGTGATATTCATCTTTGTAAACATAAATGCTTTCGATCACTGTTATAATCGTTTGTTTACGTGCAATCGATTCAGAAACATGTATTTACAGACAATCAGATCAGAAACAACTTGAGCAATTGTAAAATTTCAGATATATGATCAGATTTTAATAGCTTGTCTGATGAGTTCAAAAACTTTTTGTCTTGTTGTATGAGGTATTTCAGCTTTCAACCTGACTGGCTCCATACGCTCGTAATAAGAGCCTCCCTTCAGATGATCACTGAACACTGTGGCAAGCACTTCAAGAGCAGAAACTGATGCACTTCTAAAATGAGAACTCTGAGAATTTACAAGGAAATAGAATGATGAAACCAGAAAAAACGGAATTTTCACTTCAGTGTGCTGATATTAAAATTCACAGTGTAGTACTTACATACCGAGGCTGTCGACGAATTCAACTAACATTCTAAAACACGGTCACAGAATTCTAGTAAACTTCTACTTCGGAGTCAATATGTCATAATTGAACAACTCAAAAGATTACGAAAATAACAAAAAAAAAACT